CGTGGGGTTCGTGGTTTGTTCCTCTCGGAGGTCGATACGTTCTGTAACTTTGAGCAAAATGGCGTGAACAAACCCGGGTTTGCCGTGGGCAGGGCGATCTGGATAGGAGCTGTTTCGACAGCATCTTGTCAGCGTCACGAAGTGAAACAGCGTTGGACGGGATGACGTCATTCGCGGGCCCGCCGTGCTGGCTTGCACTTGGCGTTCGCAGTCACGGGCGAAGAATTCTGCGCAAGTCCACGGGACTCCGGACGAAGCGTCGATGCCCCGGCGAGCTGTCACCGCAGGGACAGTCTTCCCTGAGTGGGAACCAGCGTCTCCCCGAGGACCGAGCCTGCAGAGCGAACGCAGGCCACACCCTAGACCTGTGCAGAAGGGTCAGCGCCGTTCCCAGAGGAAAGTTAGGGTGCCCGCATCTGCATGTCACTTGTCATAGGACAGCAGTGCTAGTACGTTCGTCGCTTGTAGGAGCTTCGGGGTTTGATCGCGGGCCACGCTGGGAGGGGCAGAATGCTCGGGCCGTGGCGTCTGGTGGGGCATCAGATGCTCTTGGTACCAGGCGTGTGCACGCATTTACTGTGCTCAAAGCACTGGGACCAGGGCGACTGAAGCTCATGGGGACAAGCCTGAAAGTACCTCAGTGCGTGTGGCGCTCGCCCGGGCCCTGGGCACGTACGGTCTCATGCAAGGGCTCCTCGTGTGGACTGCGAGGCAGCACAGCAAGGGGCCAAGGACGCGGCCCCTGCGCACGACCTGGATGAGGGAGGGTCACAGTGTGGTCGGCCAGGTGCTCGGGCAGGCAAAGCGGACAGCTTCTGAGACCTGGGGAGCAGAGGTGGCTTCTGGAACTCACACCTCCGGGCCGTCCGGGCTCAGCGGGCAGTCCCGTGGGCTCGCTTGGGTCTGGACAGCCTGGGGAGATAATTTTATAAGTGATCCGGAAGCGACATGTTAATAACAAACTATGTATTTTTAAATGCCCTATTTCTTAGGAATTCTCTGTAGTCCTTGCTCTGAACTTGAGGGGGCAAAAGAACTCATGCACAGGACTTTCAGAAGAGCGGGCCAAATGCCATCGATGACAATCGGAAAGCAGTGCTCGTATGTGACAAGGATAATGACTGTGCTGAGTACGCTCTTCAAAGAGCAGTTTAGCTTTGCAGCAAAGGTGGGAGGAAAGGGTCGAGAGTCCCCGTGTGTCCCCATCGCTGGAGTCACCCAGATGCCGCCCTTCCAGGCCGGCTTCTTTCAGAGTCCTGTGCATTTAAGGTTCTTCCAGGTCTTCTCATGACTCGATGGCTCGTTTCGTTTTAGAGTCGAATCGTACTCCATTGTTGATTTATCCATCACCTACCGAAGGGCACCTTGGCTGCCTCCAAGTTTGGGCAGCTGTGACTAAACCTGCTATAAACACCTGAGTACAGGTCTCCCAGCTGCTCTGGGTCGATGCCCAGGAGAGAATCGCTGGGGCGCATGGGAAGAGTGTGTTTGGTTTTGTAAGAAGCTGCCACTCTGTCTTCCAAAGTTGCTGTATTATTTTGCATTCCCACCAGCAGCGAATGACGCTTCCTGTTGTTTCACATCGTCACCAGCATCGGGTGTCTCCTCAGAGGGACCTTTCTCCACTCACCTGTTTGCCCATATTAACTCTCTGTCCCCCGCCCCACAGAAACGGGTCACCATCATGTTTCTATCTTAAATAAAATGGATCACTACCTAAAATTACCGTTAATTATTTCTGTCTTTCCTCAGCGAGTCATAAGCTCTGTGAGGAGAGGGAAAGAATTTGTCCTTTTCGGGCTGTGTCCATTTCACGTAGAACGGTGCCTGGCGCACAGTGGGTCTTTACTGAAATTCTGAGTAAACGGATGCGTGATAGCACTGCGACTCAGAGAGGGGGGACGACGAGAGGAGACGTGGCTCAGATGCAGGCAGGACACGGGGACGGCCTGATGGAAGACTGGCAGCAAAGGGGGACAGGCAGGAGGCGGGCCTTTGAGCCGGAGCGGCTGACCAAGGACGGGCCACGTGCGTACACGAAGCGGTAAGACTCCCAGGCCCCTCCCCGCCACGTGCAGCCGGATCACGGAAGAAGCCAGAAGCCGACTGCAGGCCCCGGATGCGCTGAGGGCACAGGGCACACGGCACAAGGCAGGGTGGCACCCACGTGCCGACTAGGACCAGGCCCGCCCGCTGGCCGGACGCCCAGCCCGGGAGCCCGGGAGGTCGGGAGAGCCCCCTGCCCCCTGCATGGGCGAGAGAATCCTTGGATGTTTGGGGAGCCCCTCTGAGCGAGCGGGAATCCCGACCAGGCACACTCTAGTGTGTCACGGACCCGTCCACAGAAACGCTGGATTATGGGCAGCCTGCCAAAAGATCACCAGAGATGGAGGAACGGTCAAAATGTGACAGGCTGAGGCCAGGACGGAGAGGCAGAGGGGGACTTGGAGGAAAGATGATGCATTAAAGAGAAGGAAACAAAATAAAAACAGTTCAAACGATAAAAATAACAGCCTTGGAGAGAGAAAAGGAGGGATCGTATCCAGGGAGACAAGACATGATACTATTTTAAACATACAGAACAAGAAAGAGCTTCAGAAATTAAAAACATAGTCACAGAAGTTTTTAAATTTGCAGGAGCTGGAAAATGAAGCAAAGGAATTTTCCAAGAAAGAAAGAATATTTTTTTAAGTGAGAAAAAGATATTCCAGAAAAACTAGAAAAATGATTTAGAACCCTCAGTGTTCAACTAATGGGAACCCAGAGGAAGACAGAGGGAATAATGCTAGAATATTCTGCAGAATTAAAGGCTACACAGATCGCAGGGATCGGCCAAGGCCCAGACGGTGGGTGAAGTGCCCCACGCAGGGCAGCCGTCCCGAAACACCAGGGCTCCAGGGGTGACAGGTCCTCACAGCTGCAGAGGGAAAACGGATCGCTTCTGGGAGCCAGGCAGCCAGCTGGGCGGCGGGGTGACAGGCCGGCGGGGTGACAGGCCGGCGTCTGGAGAGGCACCTACTTCCGGCCTAGATTTCCACAGGCTCCTGTGCTGACGACTCAGTGACGGAATAGAGACGTTTTCACGTTTTCAACGTCTCAGCACTTTATCTCACGCACATCCCGCTTCTGGAAGCTGCTAGAGACCCCGCAAGTGAAGAAACGGACATTACATAAAAGGGTCCAGGATCCCAGCAACATGGGATTAAAAAAAAAAAAAAAATTCCTAAGTAGAGGGAAAGGAAAGTCCAGGAAAGTCAGCTTGAAAAAAACGTTAAGAAGCAAATCAGTTATTGTGGTCATGGGAAGCAAAAACGTAAAAACAAAGAAGTAATCCAGAAAGAAAATGCAGCTGACAGGCACATCGCGCGTCTCATCTGGAGAAAATTCCTCTCGAAGAAAATGTCTGCCTTACGCAGTCGAAGTCTCTGCTGTAACTACGTGTGTCACTAACCAGTGACTGTAAATCCCACACTGTCATTTTGGGAAAGATCAGGCGGCAGAGTGTGAGTGTGTGTGCGTGTGCGTGTGTGTGCACGTGTGTGTGTATCTCAAAGACTCGGTCTTCACCTTCTGGAGTAGGAAGCCACGATCTAACATGAAAACAATCGAGAAATAGCAGAATGGGCTTGTTACTTAGGAAAATGAGGTAAATGCTGGAGGAAAAATGAGCGTGGCGTGGTTGCTGCTGGCATGTGGCAGGGTCCAGGGACGGCTGGTGGGACCCTAAGCTCTGTGGAGACATTGGCTTTTCCCAGCCCATATTGTACATAAAATATATTAGATAGTTGTTGAGGTAGAAGAGGTGGTTCTAACGTATTTTAGTAGAATAGTAAAAATAGAACACGAAAGAAGGACGTGCGCCGACTCAGCGGTTAATCCGAGTGTTAATAGACTGGTTTTTTCCCTGCCTTTTGCTTATAGAACGTAAAAACTTTTGTAGTAAAATGTATATTACTGATAAAATTTTAAGACATTTTACACACTTCACACACACTTCACACACATGCACACACGCTGTGAGCCTGAGTTAATAAGCCGGGGAGCGCCAGGGTTGGACAGAGCACCACAGCGGGTGGCGTAGGCGGGCGCCCCTCCCAGGATGCTGCCAGGGACTGTCGGGGTGACTGGACGGTGGGGGGTGGAGGGTGGGGTGGGGGGAGGCTCAGCCGCCAGCCCCCCGAGGGCAGCAGCCGAGCACAGTCACCGTCTCGCCTATGCTCACACCTCTGCACACGAGGCTTCCTTCAGTGAGGGGGTGGGTGAGACCCATCTGTACCGGGGTGAAGCACGGGGTCGGTGGGCGCCGCCCCACAGGCGGAGCGAGTGCCCTTTCGACACCTCGTCCCATCCGGTGCTCACCAGCTGCCTGAGAAGCTGTGAGTTTGTCACTGTGAAAGCCATTGATGGGGCTGGTTACTGCCCTGGGTAGCAGCACAATGTCCCACCTGCTGACCCCATGTCCCCACTCTGCCAAGCCCCACTGTGGCTTCAGGTCTGAGCAGTCATCAGCCCTGCTGCTCGGGATGTGCAGAGGCGGGGTGCAGGTGGCAGCCAGGGCAGGGGTGAGGTGCTGTCCTCTCCCCGCCTGCCCTTCCCCTGCATGGGCCCAGTCCTGGCAGCTCTGGGTCACCCCAAGGGACAGCTCTTCGCTGCACTTAATCAGGGCTGAGGATCGTTTCTCATAGCTGTGCTGAGAAGCGACCGTCTCCCGCTTCGCCTGGGGTCCCTACAAAATGCGGGCACAGCCCCAGCACTGCACTCAGTGGGGTTTTGAGGGGTATCTGTGAGCACCCCTGCATCCCCTCGGCCTCTCCTGGGCGACGCAGCAAGCCCTCACGCCACTGTCTGCTCTGCCCGCCCACGGACCCCAGAAAGGGGACTGGCCATCTGACGGCCCTCCTTAGGGCACCCAGCCCCCTGACCTCCTGCACGTGACACCCATGTGCACCCGCTCCCCGACAGAGCCACCCGCTCTGATGCTCCTTCTTCGTGCTTCACAGGTGTCTCTGGGGTCACAGATGGACCTACAGAAAAAGAAGAGGCGGGGGGCAGCT